CAGACATTGGCAAATAAACCCCAGGAAGCAGAGGGCCCGGGGAAGGCTCATGAGCTCATCCACAGGAGTCTGCAGCCTGTCCCAGGCACTGGAGTACAGCCAAGATCACACAAGTCCCTGCCCTCACAGAGCTTACACTCTCCTGGGGAGGAAGACGGACACACACAGAGATCTAGAATGTGAGCTCAGGTGTTGACAAGAGCCCTGGAGGGAGGGGACACAGCAGGGAAAGGTCAGAAAGGGAAAACCCAAGGTCTCTAGAGGAGGTGTCAAGGAAAGGGTCTCCTAAGGATGCCCTGATGTTAGCAGGCTCTGAGGGCATTGTGGAGGAAGCCACGCAGACCCCTGGGGAAGAGGATTCCACCCAGGGAAATGCCAGGGTCAGAGGTGTTGAAGAAAAGGGGACTGTGCTGCTGCTGACTTTGACTCAGTAGGACACACACACAAACACACACACTCCAAAGCTCAGATCTCCATCTTTCCACCCCAATACATAGGCTGCAATATTGACTGATGCTCTCTCCCCTTCCTAGCCTCACTTTTCACCTTCTGGAACCCGCCCACCACTGCCCAGCTCAGTATTGAAGCTGTGCCACCCAATGCTGCAGAGGGGAAGGAGGTTCTTCTGCTTGTCCACAATCTGCCCCAGGACGCTCTTGGCTACAACTGGTACAAAGGGAAAATGGTGGAGGCCAAATGGCGAATTACAGGATACGTAGTGAGATCTCAAATAACTACCACAGGGCCCGCATACAGCGGTCGAGAGGCACTATACCCCAATGCATCCCTACTGATGCAGAACGTCACTGGAAATGACACAGGATTCTACACCCTACAAGTCATAAAGCTAGATCTTGTGAATGAAGAAGTAACGGGCCAGTTCAGCGTACACCGTGAGTGATTCCTCCTGTCCTCTGGGTGTTGGGGGTCAGTTCCCCTTCACACACACAGGATTGTCAGGCCTGGGCTGGGCCTGTGTCCTCCTCTGCATTACGTCCTATTTTAGGGTTTGGGCATTTAGTGCAGGGCACACACAGGGGAGACAAACTTCCACAGATCAGAATTCCTTTCCTGCATCCAGACCCTGCAGATACTCACGGCAGAGGAAGGACAGTCTGATGATGGGGACTCATCAGGAGATCAGTCTCAGCCAAGCACCCCATGCCCTCCCCTTGGACCTGACCCTGAGAAAGCCCCTAAAGAACTGGGTCAGGGCCTGACCTGAGGGACCCCCTGGGATCCTCACAGAGAATCTCAGCCCTGGAAGCCCCTGCTCCAGACCACCTATCCCAGGATCCTGACTGCAGGTGACCCTGGGGAACCTGTGCCAGAGCTGGGTGGCAGCCTTCTGGGCAGGGCCAACTGGGAACAAAGAATTACCAGCTGTTCAAGGGCTGTGGTTCCTGGAGCTGCTCACCAGCCAGGGCTCAGACCCCAGAGCCTCATCTGGGCAAGGACAGAATCTTGTCCTTCACCTGAGACTCAGTGAAGAGGACAGATGGGCAAGCTTCTTAGGCCATTGGCCAACTGCCCTGGGAGATTTAGGAGACTCCATAGAAAGTTCAGTGTCCCCGGGGGCAGAAATAGAAAAAAGATGTTCCCAACATCAACTTGTCCAGCAGGGATCATGCCAAGGGACCCTCTCATGGAGGCAAATAATAGCCCATCTGCTTATGTGAGCGCCTCCTCTGTGACTTCAGGTCAGGCGACTATGAATAATTTAATGCTAATTTTAAGAGCTTTTTTTTTTTTTTTTTTGAGATGGAGTCTCCCTCTGTCACCAGGCTGCTGTGCCAGTGGCACAATCTCAGCCCACTGCAACCTCCACCTCCCAGGTTCAAGCGATTCTCCTGCCTCAGCCTCCCAAGTAGCTGGGACTACAAGTGTGTGCCACCATGCCCAGCTAATTTTTGTATTTTTAGTAGAGACAGGGTTTCACCATGTTGGCCAGGATGGCCTTGATCTCTTGACATCATGATCCACCTGCCTAGGGCTCCCAAAGTGCTGAGATTACAGGAGTGAGCCGCAGCGCCTGGCCAACAGAAGCTTATTACTGAAAAGAAACAGAGGCACGGAAAGACACAGTCACTGAACCAGGGTCACACAAACACGAGGGCCAGATCAGAGTCCCATCAGGTCCCTCTCCAACCATAGATCCATCCTCTCTTCCACAAGAAGTGGGGGCTTATTGGGTTCCATGGACCCCACAGTCATCCATTGGCTCAAATACTTTCTTCCTGGGTATTCAATCCTCAGAAGAGTGAAAGCAAATAAACAACTGATTAGTTTGTACTGCAGAGCTAAATCACTTGCCCCAACTGTCAGAGTCAGCGCAAGGAATGTCCTGGCTCCCTCTATGACCTTAACCCCCTCACTGAACCTGAGATCCTGTTTCCTGGTGTGTTGGTGTCACTCCCACGGGAGGACAAAGGAGAGGACTTTGCTTTCTCTCCCCACTCACACCCTGTATAAGGACAGGCCCAACAGCTGACACACACTCACTAGTTCTCCCATGAAGGGCAGAGGGAATGAATGAAAGAATGAATGATCCAAACCTATTTAGCAACTAGATCCTGGATGGCCAGGCGGGTGCAGCCTGATGGGTTTACTGCCTGTTGCACACACATCTGTGTCCTCATGATGGCGCCATTGTGATAAGGTGGGGTCCTTCAGGTGGGGAGACGCACAAGCCACCAGCATCTGATTTACACTGTCCAATTCACAAAAACCTAATTAAACTCTACTTGTGTCTCCTGAGGTCAAGAGAAAATGAAGAAAGCATTGCCTGTTTTGGGTTCCTCCCAGTTTTGCCTAACTCCATAGGAATTAGGGGCAGGAAGCTTTCTAAATTTACCAATGTAACACACATCGCTTCTCCTAATTTGAAATCGTTCCTCCCTTTATGTAATTGACACACCTAAGGCTTCCTCTCTGACCATCCTGTCCTCCTAACAGGACTCACGTGCCTCCCTCTACTGGGAGTTGCTAATTTCAAACGAACTTCAGGATCTTCCTTTGAGTATAATGTGATCCTGCTGGAATTCACAGGACACCTAAACTTTATTTTATTATCAAGAGAAATGCTCCTTCCACCACTTAATTTTAGATCTGTGGACAATTAAGAGCAATTTCTACTTATGGAAAAAAATTAATGTTTCCTCCAATTTTTTTACTATAGTCAGAACATAACATAATATAGCTAAACTCCTGACACATTTTAAAAAGCAAATTAGTTACACATTGACCATCAAAAATCCAAAATCTGGGTGGGGCATGGTGGCTCACACCTAGCACTTTGGGAGGCCGAGGCAGATGGATTGCCTAAGGTCAGGAGTTTGAAATCAGCCTCAGCAACACGGTGAAACCCCATCTCTATTAAAAATACAAAAAAATTAGCCAGGCATAGTGGTGTGCGCCTGTAGTCCTATCTACTCAGGACACTGAGGCAGGAAAATTGTTTGAACCAGGGAGGCAGAGGTTGCAGTGAACCAAGATCTTGCCACTGCACTCCAGCCTGGGTGACAGAGCGAGACTCCATCTCAAAATAAAAAATAAATAAATAAATAAATAATCCGAAATTTTCCTAAATTCTACACTTGTCTGCCACTAAGGTGATGCTCAAAAGAAATGCTCACTGGAGCATTTTGAATTTTGAATTTTCAGATGTGAGATGCTAAACCGGTAAGTATACTGCAAATATTCAAAAATTTTAAAAAGTTAGAATTTCAGAACACTTTTGGTCCTAAGCCTTATGCATAAGAACTAGTCTGTGAGAACTGTAGGCATGAAGGTGTACAGCAGATCTCTAGAACCTCCTCGTCCTGTGTAAATGAAACTTCACACCCATTGAACAACTCCTCATTCTCCCACACCCATCCCATAGTAACTACTATTCTACTACCTGACTCCATGAGTTTGACTACCCTAGGAACCTCATATAAATGAAATCATACAGTATTTGTCCTATGAGTGACTTATTTCACTTTGCATAATGTCCAATGGGAGAAGATATTTGCAAAACTTCTTCCCAAATTTCTGTCTCATAACTCTCAAACACATATGGTCCGTGAGGACCAGACTTCCAGCACTTCATGCTCCCCCTTTCTGTCAGTCAGTTTGCATTTGCAAATGTCCACTTGTATTTATGGAAGGATCCAGAGCTCCTCACCTGCTCTCTGCAGGAAAAGAACGGACATTAAAAACCAAGAAAAGGAAACATGGTTCTGCTCCAAAGCCACCTGCTCTTATGCCTGTCCCCTTCACTCTTTCTAGATCATTCCTTGGACTGCTATATCTTTAGAGGTCACTGGCTCTAGCAAGTCACCATGAAACACCTAGGAAAACTGCCTCACCTTGTGGCTCCACTGCCTAATGACCGAGCCGACCTCCAGGCTTGCCCCTGGCCTCCCTCTCCTGTTATTTCTATTGAGACACCCAGTCCCAGGTCAGACTGCCCAGTATCCTTGGGAATTAAGGATAATGGCAAATCCCATCAGAAAACCCTCAAAAACACACCTCGAGGGGCAAAGTAAGGCTGTGAAGCTGGAAGGGACTCAGCACCTATAGGTTCTAGGTGAGGACCCCAAGGTGGGCCAGGCAAGCAGCTAGTCAGGGAGGGACCAGAAGAGGCACCAGGACTGTAACTCCCAGTCCTGGGTCCATCCACAACCCAAAGCTGCTGCTCAATTCACACTTGAGAAAGTCTGTGCTTCTCCCACACAGAGAAGGCAGCCTAACCTGATTGTTGTGCATCTGTCTTGTGACACACACACCTGCTGTGGGCTTTTAAGGACTCCAGTGGACCAAGAGGTGGGAGATGCCGATTCTGACTGAAAGATGCCTGTGAAGGAATCACAGGTGCCACACAGGGCAATCTTTTCTCTGGTATCTGCACAGGGGAGCTGTCCAAGCCCTACATCATCAGCAACAACTCCAGCCCTGTGGAGAACAAGGATGCTGTGGCCTTAACCTGTGAACCTGAGACTCAGGACACAACCTACCTGTGGCGGGTAAATGGTCAGAGCCTCCTCGTCAGTCCCAGGCTGCAGCTGTCCAGTGACAACAGGACCCTCACTCTACTCAGCATCACAAGGAATGACACAGGACCCTATGAGTGTGAAATACAGAATCCAGTGAGTGCGAACTTCAGTGACCCAGTCACCCTGAATGTCCTCTGTGAGTATCTTCTGTTCCTCTGTGGCCCTGGCTTCCATCCCACATCCACACAGCCAGACGCCAGGCCTCTCAGTCCCTATCAGGTCCAAAGATGCAGACTCTCACCTCTAGACACCCAGGTGGTCATGACTTCCTGCCCCAGGTAAACATGGGTAGCTCCAGCCTTGACCAAGAATAAGAGGGGAGAGGGTGCTCCTGTCACAGGAGACTTGGGGTCCACATCTTCTGATGGGAGAAACAGATAATTGTCTCAGACTCTGTCTCAGTAAACAGGGCAGGGGTTTGGTTGAGACTTCAGGGTTGTGACTTATCTCAGAGGGACACTATGCCCTTCCACAGACCAGGAGCTTCCCCTTCCCTCTGATGACATCATCTGTGACTTTATTCTCTTTGCTCCAGATGGCCCAGATGCCCCCATCATTTCCCCTTCAGACACCTATTACTACCCAGGAGGAAATCTCAGCCTCTCCTGCCATGCAGCCTCTAATCCAGCCTCACAGTATTCTTGGTCTGTAAATGGCACATTCCAGCAACACAAACAAAAGCTCTTTATCCACAACATTACTGTGAAGAACAGCGGATTCTACACCTGCCACGCCATGAACCCAGCCACTGGCCGCAACAGGACCACAGTCAAGATGATCACAGTGCCTGGTATGTGGATCCCTCGAGCACTGGCAGTGTTTACTGGTAGAGTCTATCTGGCTTTCAGAGAAGAGCCAGAAAAAGAGTTTTATTCCCAGCCTCTGTCCAACAGCACAAACAAATCCCAAATTTTTCTCCTAAACCCTCCCAATTCATCTCTACAGACTCTCTTCTGCCTATTTTTCTAATTTCTCATGGCTCACCTTGGGGCTGACCTGAGAAATGTGGAAAGGGTACTTGGTCAGCCCCAGACCCCTATGTAGTAGAAGAGGCTACACAAAGGGGGAAGGAGGAGGTTCCTCAGATCAAGTTGCTTTTCTTTGTCACCAACATGTGGCACCCCTATGTTCAGATTACCCCTTTGTTTTCTTTTACCTATTCCATTAGCTGCAAAAAACATCCGAGGCTTTGAAACAAGCCCACAACATTTCCCAAACGAGAGGAGGAAGTCCCTTGGATGGGGGAGAAGCAGCTCAGACTCTGCTCCCTTCTCCGCTCCCAGCACCCCCAGTGACAGGCCCTACCCTGACTCAACCTGAGGTGGGACCTGGCTGTATGGAGGTGTCCAGGTAGCCTGTCCCAAATCTAGCTAAATCAAGATGCCAGTTGAAGCCAAGCCTCCCCCTAGTCAGGCTGCAGGGAAAGGGGAAGACAGGGAGCCTCCGGGAAGACTTCTGAGCTGTGTCCCGGCTCTGAAGTTGCCAGCTGTATGAGGCTGTGGGCACAGCACAGAGGACGGTGAGCGATGCACACTTGGAGACACAGGGAGATTCACCCACGGGGGCTCTGCATGGGAGGGAAGGGGCAGTGCCAGTGCGCATTTACAGAAAGGGTAAGACTATCAGCCGCTATATATATATTTTTTCTTTTTTACGTAAGACTTACCATTAACTATTTCTATCCGTGAAATCTACTGTTGTATAACCATCACCACTATCCATTTCCATAACTTTTTCATCTCACCACATTAAACCTCTGCACCCAATAAACAATAACTCTTACTTCTTCTCCCGCTAACCCCTGGTAACCTCCATTCTACTTCCTTTCTGTCTCCATGTAATTGACTATTCTAACAACCTTATATAAATGGAATTATATAATAGCTGTGCTTTTATGTCTGGTTTATTTCACTTAGCATAATGTCTTCAAGGTTCATCCATATTGCACCATGTATCAGAATTTTATTCCTTGTTAAGGTTGAATAACATTCCATTGTATGGATATACCTCGTTTTCCTATCCACTTATCTTTCAGTGGACTTCAGTTGTTTCCACCTTTTGGCTATTGTGTGGCTAATGCTGCTGTCAACATTTGTGCACAAATATCTGTTCAAATTCTGTCCAATTCTCTTTGGAATTGCTGGCTCAAATATTAATTCTTTGTTTAATTTTTTAAGAAACTGCCACACCATTTTCCACAGTGGCTATAACATTGCACAATCCCATCAGCAATGTACTAGAGCAGGCGTCCCCAAACTACGGTCTACGGGCCACATGCGGCCCCCTGAGGCCATTTATCCGGCCCCCCACCGCACTTCAGGAAGGGGCACCTCTTTCATTGGTGGTCAGTGAGAGGAGCACAGTATGTGGCGGCCCTCCAACTGTCTGAGGGACAGTGAACTGGCCCCTGTGTAAAAAGTTTGGGGATGCCTGCACTAGAGCTCCAATTTTTCCACCTGTTTAAAAACACTTTGTGTGCGTGTGTGTGTGTGTGTGTGTGTGTGTGTGTGTGTCTGTGTGTGTGTGTGTATGTGTGTGTGTGTTTTAATCAAAGCCATCCTGATGTCTTTGAGGTATTCTATCACTGGGGTTTTGTTTTGCATATCTCTAAGTATTCATGATGTTGAGCATCTCTGCATGTGCTTATTGGCCATTTGTGTATCTTCCTTGGAGAAATCTCTATTTTGGTCTTTTGTCCTTTTTTAATTGGGTTTTTGGATTTTTGCTGTTCTTGATTTGTAGTAGTTCTTCACATATTCTGAAAATTAATCCTTTATCATACATGATTTGCAAATATTTTTCTCACTTCATGGGTTGCCCTTTCACTTCCTCGACAATGTTCTTTGATATATAAAAGTTACTAATTTTCATGAAGTCCAATTTATCCATTCTTTCTTTTGTTGCCTTTTTTGTTGTTATAACTAAGAAACCACTGTGAAATCCAATGTCATGGAGTTTTTGCCTTGTGTTTTCTTCTCAGAGTTTTATGGTTTTTTTACTCTTACATTTGGTCTTTAATCTACTGTGGGTTAATTTTTTTGTATATGGTGTCAGGTAAAGGTTCAACTCATCCTTCTGCATGGATATCCAGCTTTCCCAAAGTCCTCTGTTGAAAAGACTGCACTTTCCCCATTGAATGGTCTTGGCATCCTTATCAAAAAGCATTTGGCCAGATATGCAAGCATTCCTTTCTGGCCTTTCTTTTCTAGTCCAGTGGTTTCTATGTCTTCCTTTATGCAAGTACCACATTGTACTGATTATTGTGGCTTTGTAGTAAATGCTGAAATCAGGATTCGGCATTTTTTCAAGATTTTTTTTTCATACTTGTTTGGCTATTTTGAGTCCTGAAATTCCACATGAACTTTAGGATAGATTTTTCTATTTCTGCAAAAAACATCACTGGCATTCTGATAGAAATTATGTTAAATCTGTAACTCACTCTGGGTCGTACTGTCTTCATAACAATACTGAGTCTTCCAGTCCATAAAAACAAAACATCTTCCCATTTATTGAGGTCATCTTTAATTTCTTTCAGCAATGTTTTCTAGTTTTCAGAACATAATCCTTTCACCTTGGTTAATATTTTATTCTTTTTGATGTTAAAGTGAATTAAAATTTTTTTCTTAATTTCTTTTCAAATTGTTCATTGTCAGTATATAGAAATGCAACTGATGCTTGCATGTTGATTTTGTATCCTTCAACATACTGAATTTATTAATAAATTCTAACAGGTTTTTTTCATCTTTAAAGTTTTCTACATACAAGTTCAAGTTACCTGTAAACAGACAGATAATTTTCTTCTTTCCAATTTGAAAGTCTTTTTTTTCTTGCCTAATTTCTCTAGCTAGAATTTCTAATACTATTTAAATAGATGTGGCAAAAGCAGGCATCCTTTTCTTGTTCCTGATCATTGGGGGAAAGCTTTCAGTCTTTCTCTATTGAGTATGATGTCAGCCTTAGGCTTCTCAAATATTGCCTTTATTATATTGAGATGGTTTCCTTCCATTCATACTTATAATGCTTTTATTAAGAATGCTGAATTTTGTCAAATGCAATTTTTATTCAATCTTTCTACTAATTATACGTCTATTCAGATTTTTTGTGTCTTTCTAGGGATTTGTCCATTTTCATTTAGGTTATCCAATTATTGGCATACAATTATTCATAGTACTTTTGTAAACATTATTTCTCTAGAATTTATATAATGTCTCCATTTTCTTTTCTTTTTTTTTCTTTTAGAGAGAAAAACTGGGTCCCACTGTTTAGGCCAGCCCAGGGTAGAGTGCAGTGTTGCAATCACAACTCACTGAAGCCTCAAACCCCTAGGCTCAAGCGATCCTCCCATCTCAGCTTCCCAGGTAGCTGAAACTACAGGTGCACAACACCATGCCTGGCTGATTTCCTTTTTTAATTTTGTAGAGACATAATCTCCGTATGTTGGCTGGTTTCAAACTCCAGGCCTCAAGCAATCCTCTGGATTTGGCTTCCCAAAGTGCTGGGATTAAAGGTGTAAGCCACCATGCCTGACTCCATTTTCATTTCTGATTTTAGTAATTTCAATCTTCTCTCTTTTTTTCTTCGTCAATCTAGTTAACGATTGTCAATTTTGTTGATCTTATTTTGAAGAACCAACGTTTGGTTTCACTGATTTCTCTATTGTTTTTCCATTCTCCATTTTATTTATATCTATTCCAATCCTTATTACTTCCTTCATTCACTGTGTTTGGGTTTAGTTTATTTTTCTCCTATACTGTGAAGTTGTAAATTAGGTTGTTGATTTAAGATCTTTCTTCTTTTTTAATGTAAGAGTTTGCAGTTATAAATTTATTGCACAAGATTCTTAACTTCTCTGAGCCTCTGATTCCTCAACTGAAAATTGCAGTAACAATGTTTGCTTCATAGCATTGTTTTAAAGGTTTAATGTAATCATCAATGAAACCTTCAGCAAAATGCCACATACAGAGGAAATGTTTCACAAATGTTAGCTGCTGTATTACTACAGTTTTTTCACCACTCTAAGTCTTTGTCTTCTCATCTGTAAAATGAAAATAATGTCTA